CGATGGCTTTAGTCAGGGGTTTAGTGACTGGAAGCACTCTGAAAGAATAGGGGAACACGAAAAGAGTGCAGAACACAGATCATGCATGCTTGCCTTGCACCTGCGGACAAAGGGCAGTGCTATAGATGCAGATCTCATGCAGCAACTTGATGGGGAACGTAAATACTAGAGGGACATTTTGAAAAGAGTTGTAGCAGTGATCAAATTGTTGGGTGAAAGAGGACTTGCATTTAGGGGAGATGATGAACGGTTTGGGTCAACCCATAACAGTAATTTCCTTGGCATCCTAGAATTGCTATCACAATTTAACCCATTCCTAGCTGAACATATTAAAAAGTTTGGCAGAAAAGGAAGAGGCACAGTGTCCTATTTGTCATCGACAATATGTGAAGAACTCATTGAGCTAGGGTCAGAATACTCGTCAAATACTTTTCAAAAATTGTTGACTCCATCCCAGACCTGTCACCTGTGGACCAATTGACGTTCATTTTCCAGTTTGTTAAAAGCAGCGGGAATGTGGTGGAGCGATTCCTGGGCTTTGAGCCAATTGAGAGCCACGCTGGTAAAAGTTTAGCAGACTGTGTGACTTTGATGGTGAAAGGTCTTGGGTTGGACCTCTCAAACTGTAGAGGTCAGTCATATGACAATGCAAGCAACATGTCAGGAAAATACAATGGGCTACAGGCCCACCTGAAACAAAAAAAACCCTCCGATAGAGTATGTGCCTTGTGCAGCGCATTCACTTAACTTAGTTGGTGTTAACACCTTAGATGGCAGTAGCCCAGAGGATGACGAGTTTTTTTACATGTTGCATTCACTTTTTGGTCTTCATCCACACACAAATGGGGGAAAGTCTTTCGGAAGACTGATGTCAGACTAACATTAAAATCACTGTCCAGTACTCGATGGAGTGCTCGGGCAGAGTCAACCAAGGCACTGTGGAGAAATGAAATACTCGAATTTAGGACTATGTGCTAAATTGAACACCTTAGAGATGGTGTTTATGGCACATTTCTGGGACATCATACTTGACCGATTCTATGCTACGAACATGCACCTACAGAAAAGTGGCACATCTCTGTAGCAGCACAGCTTTTGTCTTTGTTGAGGGATTTTGTGGTGGGACAGCGAGACCAGTTTGAGGCTTTTGAAAGGGCAGCCTTAAATGTGACAGTCATATAAGCACGATCTTCAGCAAAAGAGGAAACGCAAAACATTTGCAGATGAGAGCTCAGAGTCAGGTGTGACACTTGAGGGGAGGGAGAAGTTCAAAATAGAAACATTTTATGTGGTCATTGATAACCTAGTGGCATGCCTTCAATATCGCTTGGACGCTTACAAGCGTTTGACCAGTCTCTTTGGAGTTCTGTTTATGTCAGATCAGGTGTCTAACAGTATGTCATAGTGAAAAATGTAAATGCACTCTCCGCTGCATATCCTTCAGACCTGGACATGAACTTTTCCAACGAACTCATCCAATTCAAGTCTTTCATGTCTGACTGAAGGTGAGAAGTGCCTAACTAAATTGCTTGAGAAGTTGCAGGCACTTAATCTGCAGTCAGTGTTCCCTAATGTTTTTGTGGCACTTCGGATTTGTCTAACTTTGCCAGTGATAGACTGGCAGGGTGAGCGGACATTTTCCCTTTAAGGCAGAATAAAAAATGAGCTGCGGAGTAGCATGTGCCAAACACGTCTCAGCTCATTCCCACTTTTGTCACTTATATCAATAGAGTCAGACCGTGTCAGACAGTTATATTTTGACGCTCTAGTGGATGATTTTGCAAGGAGGAAGGCAAGAAAGACACCAATATGGGGGGGGGGGGGGGGGGTGGGCTCCAAAAGACATGTGCCCAGGGGCCTCACGGGACCATGATCCGGCCCTGAGCACGGTTGGCTATGTACCATGCTGCAAAATAAGTTCAACATACAGCACATGAATTTCGATTTAAAGATTTCGTGACTGCAAGGATTAATCTTCTTTGGTTCTTTCGGTAAAGTCACGTAGAATGAGAATAAAATAATAAAATAAAACTATAAAATTCTCACGACGTTTCGGCCACAACACAAGTGGCCTTTTTCAGGTGAAAGGAACAGACCTGTTGGGACGACAGAGCTTCAATGAACGTTGTTAAGATTTGTAGCATCTTTAAGCTGGTTTAGAGAAGTGAGGCACCTTGACAAAGGGGTTTCCATATCAAACAGGAGAATTTAGCATTGAAATAGCTGAGTGATTAGCTTGTGACTGGTCATAGAAATAGCTATGTTAAAGTCAAAGCTTACACATCCACAGAGGCACATAGTACAAATCAAACAGGATAATTTAGCATTGAAATAGCTGAGTGATTAGCTTGTGACTGGTCACAGAAATGGATATGTTAAAGTCAAAGCCTACACATCCACAGAGGCACCTAGTACAAATCAAACAGGAGAATTTAGCATTGAAATAGCTGAGTGATTAGCTTGTGACTGGTCACAGAAATGGCTATGTTAAAGTCAAAGTGTCCATGTACTAGGTGCCTCTGTAGATGTGTAGGCTTTGACTTTAACATAGCTATTTCTATAACCAGTCACAAGCTAATCCCTCAGTTATTGCAATGCTAAATTCTCCTATTTGATTTACACTAGGTGCCTCTGTGGATGTGTAGGCTTTGACTTTAACATAGCCATTTCTGTGACCAGTCACAAGCTAATCACTCAGCTATTTCAATGCTAAATTCTCCTATTTGATTTGTACTAGGTGCCTCTGTTGATGTGTAGGCTTTGACTTTAACATAGCTATTTCTACGACCATTCACAAGCTAATCACTCAGCTATTTCAATGCTAAATTATCCTGTTTGATTTGTACTATGTGCCTCTGTGGATGTGTAAGCTTTGACTTTCACATAGCTATTTCTACGACCAGTCACAAGCTAATCACTCAGCTATTTCAATGCTAAATTCTCCTGTTTGATATGTAAACCCATTTGTCAAGGTGCCTCACTTCTCTAAACCAGCTTAAAAGACGCTACAAATCTTGACAACGTTCATTGAAGCTCTGTCGTCCCGACAGGTCTGTTCCTTTCACCTGAAGAAGGCCAATTGTGTTGTGGCCGAAACGTCGTGAGAATTTTATTGTTTTATTTTATTATTTTATTCTCATTCTACGTGACTTTACCGAAATAACCAAAGAAGATACAGCACATACATATGTGCATTTTATTTACAAAAATAAATTCACGACAAAACCAAGTAGAATTATTTAATACATAATCACATTGGTTTCCACCCCACCCTTTCCCCCTTACTTTTGTTCCTATTCCCTTGCCTTCCCTTCCCCTCATAAAAGGTTCTCATTCCCGCTCGCAGTCCCAATGCAAGGAGGGCAGTGAGTGAGCCCATTTCTCTCCCTCTCCCCTAACCCATGAGCACTGTGGCCGGGCTTATGCCCACATAATTTCTATATCCCCTCCCCTTGTTTTTGCCCGTGCTCTGTACTTGGCTCTTGTCAGAATAAAAAACAAATCAATCACATTTAGAATTAAATTTCAGAGTAATATAATTATCTGGCACCCAGAAATATATAATTATTTGGTATCCAGAATTATCAGTACTGAGATACCTTACACAAGCCGATAGTCCGATCCCCACTACCAATGCTAGATTAACTTCAATCTTCAGAGAATGACGTGTAGGGCACAAACACGGTACATCGGCCCTTATCACCATCACTGCTTGCCCTACATCAGTTCTCGTGACTTAAGGCCATAATCCACTGGGACAATTTTAGGACAGCCATTGCTGGCAATGATAATTGTCTTATAGTTTCCGTTGTGGATCATGCCCTTTAGGTAACATTATTCTGCCTCCTGTTACCAGAACACACTGCTCCAAAAGTCAACGTAAAAAATACTGTGATTTCATATACATGAGTAAATAATTGTGTGCTTATGCAATGCACCAAAAACAGAACTTCGGATATTGTTGGCGAATACAAAAGTGAATAACAATGCTTTATCGATGTGTTAAATAAAGGACACGAACCCATCACCTGCACATTAAATGTCATAACAATAGGTCCATAAAATACATGAAAATGCATGCTTGTATCATAAGACAATACATCAGAAGAAAATATATTAACATGCCAACCAAATATGATTTGCCTTTCCTCTGGTTGCATAAAGGACAATGAAGTGTGTTGTTATTATGATTTTGTAACACAGCTAAAATTCATATACTGTAGTTTACAACCCAAAACAAACACGTAAAATTTTATTGGGCTACCTGCCAGTATTGCTCCGTTTGAGATTTTGTAATCTCAGCCCGAAGACACTTCCAAAAGAGATGCTGGGCATGTGGATTTGGTGGCCACTGCAGAAAAGAATCTGGACAAAGGCGCTTTCGCATGCGCATATATCGTGAGTATAGAAACCTCGATGGCATTCTCTCCAACATGACAAACACCATTACATCTTTCTTCTCATCAATCATTCGCTGCTGCGCCATACTCCAAGCCTGCCGGAAGTGGCCGGAGGTGATGTAGTCTTTTGTTAGGAGAAACACAGTCTTCCTGCTATTGTAGACACTGGTCGCCAAGTTGTTCGAAATACTGATCCCTGGCAGCCAGTCACGGTCCTCAATACAGAGATGACAACACGAGGGGTAGTCTGATTTCTCTTCCAGATGAACACGAAATTCCTTCAGGACCCACTCACAGACATCTACATTTGATGAGTCGTATGCGACAAACGCATCATAGGCGTTTTGGTTTAGGTTTTCATAGGTATAATTAACTTTTCCTCGACATAATGACCTGAATAAATGTGCAAAATTCCAACGGTAACGTACCCAGATGAATGATGTAACCATCAATGAAATAATTAACACATTGTATATCAAAAATAATACCATGCCAGTGGTTATATACTCACATTGTGACTCGTTCAGGGAAAAAATAACTCCTATATTCTTTACAGAAAATGTGTCCAATGGGTATTTACATTTCACATTGGTAGCCAGCTTAGGAATAATAACAGTAGTTGAGTTGATCCAAGACAGACACCATACGTTGGAGCATGTACACAGAAATGGGTTTCCAGAGAGTTGCAATCCTTCGAGATGTTTCATATTGTGAATAGAGAACCTTTCTTGGCTCTCTGCAGTTAGATTGTTGCGTCTTATATCTAAAACAGTCAGGCGTCGCATTGATTTTACAAAATCTGCACTGATAAAAGCTATATTATTGTTATGCATTATCAGCTTTGTGATGGATGTACTATTTGATACATCTGATAACTGTGTCAGATGATTGTAGCTAAGGTCCAGTTGTTGTAAATGTTCTAGTTTGGCAAGTTCATCCCAAGGAATACGTCTCAGTCGATTATGGCTAATGTTTAACACTTTCAGTTTTTTTTAAATGCACAAACACACTGTTCTTTAAAATAAACCTTATCTTGTTGTGAGAAATATCAAGGTTTTGCAGCTGTGTAAAATTTTCAAATAAGTTGAAATGTTTTCCATCTTCCCATAATATGTCAAGTCTGTTTCCTTGAAAGTTTAGCGTTTTCAAAGTGTTACTGTACAAGGGAGAGTCTGTCGAAAGACTTCTGATACCATTCCCTACCAGTCGAAGCTCTGTTAGTGCAGACATACCAGAAATAAAATTGATGCTGTGCACAAGCCCATCGAGTGAAAAGTAATACTGGTTATAGCTGAGATCCAACACCTCTAAGTAAGGCAACTCTGAAAAAGCAGTGTTGAAAACCAAACTTATTCGATTATAAGAAAGGTCAAGGTATTTAAGTTTTGGGAGATTGCTAAATTCAGTGCCATTTAATGCCTGGTTTATACAATTTCTGCTCAAAACTAGGCATTCAATGTTCCCCATGTCATGGAAGTAATTTTTTTGTATGAAAAAAATACTATTGTTACCAAGGTCTAAGACTTTGTTATACATCTTACATTGTGGAACACCGACTTTTTTGTCGTGTTTTGATATCAAGAGCAAAACACTGCTTTAATTATTTTCAACATTGTTCACAAATACATTTGATTTGGGAATAATACAGCCTGGATTGTTTTCTGGTGAAATCAGATTTTCACTTAGAATTATCTCATTTAATTGTGAAAGTCCCTTAAATGCCATAATATTTACCTGCTTAATGAAATTAAGTGATACATTTATGGAAGTTAGATTTAGGAGGGTTTTCAGAGGATTTAAATTGTTTATATGCAGATACTGAAAAATAAGACCCGTCAAAATAAGTTATTTTAAATAAGTGAGATTGGCAAAATTTGATGAAAGTTTCAGCTCAACTGGATACTTTTCAAAGTAATAATTAAAGGATAGATTTAAATGCTCTATTCGTTGCAAGTAATTTAGAAATATGCCATTTTCAATTTCACCACCCAAATAATTATATGACAGATCTAAATATGTCATGTGAGTGTTGTTCTCAAACAGCTGTGGTGGGATCTTCTTGAGTGACGTGCTAGCTAAGTCTATGTGGGTTAAAAGTGGCATGTCAGAAAAAATAAACGTGTCAATATCTAGTGGTTCATTGTTTGGACATTGTTTGCAGGGGAAGGATGCAGTGATGCACCGTGGGCAGTTCAAGGCCACATCCAGGGATTCCAAGTGCATCATGCCATGGAAATACTGTCTTCTTAATTTCCTAATGTCATTGTTGCCAATGACGAGATTTCGTATTGTTGTTGAAAGATTCAGCTTAACATCTGTTAGATTGTTATTGGATAAATCTATGAAAGTAAGATTTGGTAGGGTAAAAACATCTTGTGATATATTGAACGATTTGTAGCAAGCGTTTGACAAGTAACAATTACAACACAAGTGTAGATTTTGAAGATTGTGCAAGCCAGAAAAATCTCCGCTGCGTAAAGTTGTAATGTGGTTGAATTCCAGCCATAGCGATTTCAGACTTGATGGCAGCTTTTTGGGAATGAGTATGAGGCTGTTTCTATTCAGACTGAGTGAAGTTAAATTCAGCAGGTCAACGAAAGCATCTTCTTCAATGGTGAATGTATGGTTGCAGTGAGTGGATGGTAAGTTTTGATGGTACATTCGCCAACAATTTCCACTTAGATCCAGCTCCTTCAGTGAGACCTGCAAACAAATATTACAAACGGGGTTCAAATAAGACAGTACAAGTTAACTCGCCAAAGTAACATTGTCCCTAATCCTAATACCGCATGTGTATACATTTGTAGAGGGTCCACCAGGCTTTAGTCGACACTTTTCTTTATTCCACGCGAGCTCATGCCGCACGCGTCCACCCTACTCCGACTTCCTCCAAGAAGTGCCTCAATTACCCCGCCTCTCCCGGTGACGTCATCCTGACACTGTACCCTTGGATTACACGAGTATTTCTACCCTTGGATCACGTATCAGTAATACAACACCCCTCCCCCCACCCCGAAGAAAAAGTTGTCCTCGACTAAACACAGCCCATGTGAATACAAGGGATTCGGGGTAGCCCTGACAATCGAAAAAAAACACTTTTGTTGGCCAATAACAAGCAATTTCTAACTCAACCCGAGTCCTGTTACTTTGTGTGTAGGTATGGAATGTATGTGTATGCAAAACAGAATTTAAGACAGCAATACATGAAGAACTGTAAAACAAGACGGTGCTCACAAGGGTTTCAATCAGACCCTCCAACCGTAAAATGCGAGCAAACAGCGCACAACTTCCGGCACGAAAGAACAACAATGTAATTTTAATCCGCTATTCCGTGGTCTTGAATGCGGTGGTTGTTCATCACTGTGGGAGCATTGCCCGGGCCCGTGCCCGGGTAACCAGGCCATTTAGGTGCGGCTTCGTCGGATGTTGCTGCACCTCGTTGGTCCTGGGGAAGGAAGGCAACCTTCTTGAGGTTGGTTAGTCACGGCAAGTGACTTCCCCGACCTCGGCAGTGATGATGGTGAGTGAAGAGGTGAAGGTGTATGTGTTCGCAGTAAACCAGTTTTTGGTGAGTGTAGTGGGTGCTCTTCCAAGTTTAGTGGCATGTCCGCAGTAGGCTTTGACCGGTTGTACATATCATCACCGGCGTCCCAATTAGACAAGTATACATTGAGGCCTGAGAATCTCCACCACCTTCACAGGACCCTGCCACGGACAGGTGCAGTTTGGGCGAGGTCCCTAAGGGGACCTGTGGGCAGTGTAGCCATGCACTATCTTCCACTATGAAAGTCAGGGGCATCACTCCCTTTTGGCATAGCCCGTTCATTCACGGAGTGGGCGGAAGCTGCTGTGGCTTATGCCACCTCCCTCACCGTCTCCCACTGCTGCATGACCTGTCGTACCGCTATTGGTTATTTTGCAGCCCCAGCTGGGAGGTCAAAAGCAGGTGCTCTATGGGAGGGTCTGGCTCCCTACCATATATCAAATATAATGGACAGTATCCCATCGACGCATGCGGGGCTAACCGGTATTCCGCCAGGATCGAGCCTATGTGTAAGTCCCAGTTCGTCTGAGTCTCATTGACCACCTGACATAGCATGTAAGTGATGGTGTGATTTATCCCATCGGTTTGTGGGTGGTATGGAGAAGTGCGTACTTAGTGCCTAAGATGTCACATACTTCCTGTATCAGTTTCGAGGAAATGTTTCTATGCTGTTCTGTTAGAAGTTTTTCAGGGGCCTCTTTGTCCATAACATATCCATGCACAAAAGCTTCTGCTACTGACTGAGCAGTTTGATCCACCAGGGACCATGCCACCGGCCATCACTTGAAATATTCGACCCCTACTAGCAGACATTTGTGACCTCTGTCAGTACAAGGTAGGTGTCCCAATATATCCAGGACCACCAACTCATTGACCCGCGAAATCTCGATGGGCTGTAGGGAAAATTTGACCGGGTGTGCTGGCGGTTTCCGCCGCGCACATTCTACACATTAGGCCAACCATGCGCGGATATCTGCCATCATTCCCGGTCAGAAATAATGAGTTTTAATAGTAGAGAGTGTTTTCAGCTCCTCCAAATGCAGGAGGCGGCGGCCATGCACCTCCACAATAAACTTTTTGCATATGGAAGTCGGCACAACGACACAGTAGGGCTGTGTGTCGATCTTCCAACACATAAACAGCCCTTCGTAATCTACGAATGTCGAAGCTGTTGGAGGCCGGTCCTGTTCCGGACTAGACTTAGCAATGGCGCGTGGGTTAAAGTGTCCCATTTTGACATAGCAATCGCTGCCATTCCTTTTGACTCAATCCCAAATCACTATTGGCCAGGGCAGGCTCTGGTTTTCCTTCCCGTGCACTGGTGCTGTGAGGCATGCCGTGTCAGGTAAGAGTGATTTACACCTGGGCGAGCCCTTAGCACAGGTAAAAGTACCTGCCTCGGACAGACGCGATAAAGCATCTGCATTGGTGTGGTGCAACCCCTTCCTATGGACCATCTCATAGGATAACTATTGCAGCATCTCAATCCACCTGCCCATTTTACCAGAGGGCTGGTCGATACGTAACTAGTATTGCAGTGCTGCGTGGTCAGTCCGCATACTTCAAGTTTTCATCCATATATGGGCGAAATTGCTGTACAAAACGTACACCGGCCAGTAGTTCTCTCCTCATTACGCAGTAAAGTTGTTCGGCCGATGACAATACCCAGACACCATATGCTATCACCACCTCTCCACTCGACTGTACCTGAGATAGAATGGCCCCAATCCCCACATCACTCGCATCCGTGTTCAGCATAAAGGGCAATTAAATGGTGGTGCCTCCATGAGTGTCCACATATTTGTCAAAGCTCTGTCCTCTTCCATACCCCATTGGAATTTCTGCCCCTTAGCTGTAAGTGCATGGAGGGGTTTCGTGATGGCCGCAGAATCCTGTACGAATCTGCAGTAATGGAAAACAAAGCCTATAAATCTAACATTCGACACGGATACGGGGGTGGGCTATTCCCTAACACACTGCGTATTTTCAGGATCAGCTACCCCCGTTTCGCTGACTGCGTCCACCCTACTCCAATTTCCTCCAAGAAGCGCCTCGATCGCTCCGCCTCTCTCGGTAAATTCACATCTCTCTCCCTTTCCTCGTGACATCATGCTGCCACTGTACCCTTGGATCAGGCGAGTATTTCTACCCTTGTATCACGTAAGTATTAGCACTACACATGGATACATCTATGCATATCTTGCATTAAAAATTATGTTTTGTGCCTTGGTAAAAAAAAAATACTTGTTTTAAAGTCTATGCTGCCAGCCACTGGTTGTGAGTTAGTCTTAAATCATAGAAATTCCTGTTAGGGCCACATTACGTGATGCAGATACAGTTTTGAGGCAGGCACCAAGTGTCCACCCCTGCCACCTCACTTTCCCCACCCATTACTCATAAGCCTCACTACCTATCAGCAAAGCGCACTTTAAGGTAGTGGGCAACACAAAAATTACAACACCCTTTCTCAACATATACAAGAGAAACATTGTGTAGAAGCGAAGACAAAAATTTGAAACTGGAAACTTAAAGCGGTACAGATTCCCTGAAATACGAGTGTAGTTGAAACTGCAACTGATGTAAGAAAACAAAATAGAACCAACCTGTGTAACTTACATGGTCAATAAGCGATGAGCTCTTGACAACACTCTTCAAAGAAGTGAATATGGACGTATTGGTCGTATAGCGGTGCAGCAGAACACACCGTTTCTAGGAAAACAGCCTAAAATTGTATTTGAACTGATGATGTCGCTGTTGCACTTGAGTGAGCTGCAGACTCTCCCTGGGAAGTTGCCTTATTTTCAGCAGCTGCTTTCCCATTCGAACGTGTGACATGAGTCCTAATTATTCCAAAAATGAATCAAGGAACTGTCCGACCAAGTCTATGGCACGAGTCAAATCTGCCTTTGGAGCACGGAGCAGCCACTCGTCATCAGGCTGGGTGCTATACGGCAACAGACTGTGAAACTTTGTATTCAGTTGCTCATAACATTCACCTTTCGACTGCTTCGATATCTTGAGAACTGATTCTGATGTACCCCGCAAGATTTTCTGACTGGGGTTGTGAATCGTGGGAAAATAAACAATTATTGCGATAAATGTGTTCTTTTGTATACCGCGCACCACCGGTGTTCCACCAATACGTTCATATACTGCCACTGGAATTGATGTGAGGGAGACCAGTGGACTGCAACATAGATTAACAAACAAGTTTTTACCAAAGTACAAAACCTTAATTTTTTTCTGTCTATGCCGCCATCCACTGGTTGTAAGTTAGTCTTAACCAGAAGTAAAAATACTAAAGCTGGTGACCTGTAGGAGGGACAGGCGACTCCTTAAACAAACACAGACAAAAAACCCTCCCAAAGGAAGCAACTTTCAAGCTGCCACCCTGCAACTAGCTGTCCTCAAACACCACCTGTAGGTGACTGTTGATAGCTGGTAGCCTGCATGACAAAGTATGGTGACCTGTCCTGAAGCACCAACGGGAAATATAATTCCACTTGTTAGCACAAACCCTGGATGTGGACGCTCTTTTGGATTTCAGCAGGCGGCCCTGCACTTGTTCAGAAAATCCCCGGTTGATAAAATTGTACCCTTTTGACTGGGCAGCAAACCTCATCCTGTGACAGCAGGTTCTCCTGAACCAGGAATTTCCATGGATGATGTGTCCTTAGCTCCAGGAGATCCGATAACCAGTACTGTCTCACCCATTGTGGAGCAACTAGCAGCACTGACGTCATGCCCATTATTATCTTGCCCATATTTAAAAGGTGTCCAGACCATACCCTGTCTAGGATATCATAAAGACGAGTTGTAGCAATGGGCCCGGGGAGTCGAAACTGGATGCAAAATCACGACAGCCAATGGTTGGCTTCCGACGTACAACAATCGACAACGAATGGGCCAAACCATTGCCGGCACCTGCTCAAACACCTTGGAGTGCAGCATCCATTCTTCGGGATCAAGACAGCCTTAGCTTAGCGTGTCTATGACTACATTTTCTGTCCCAGCCAAATGGCAAGCTCTCAGGGACAAGTGCTGTGATTCCATTCAGTATACAAAGTCTGTGAGCGAAACTGGGGCAATCCTAGATGATTCACCACAGCTGTCATATTGTTGCAGCAACTTACAATCTGCTTCTCCTGAATCCAGCCCT